CATTAATTCCTTCCGAATTAATTCGTCGGTTCGGTTTGTTGAATGCTTGGGTGTGACCCGAAGGGTTCAGTCAAGATTAAGCTGTAATATTAATTATTCATTAATATTACTGATCGGAAGCGGCCTCCACCCAGGCATTCCGATTACTTGACCTCACTGAATATATTAGCTTTCTAATAATTTCGAACCCACTAACGGAATAGTACACTTGTTCGAAGGACACCATGCCCAGATTGGTCTACATAAACCAGAAATGAGTTCGGGAGGGAGGGCACTAAGATAAAGTTCCCTTTAGAGGGGAATTGCTATCTTAGCCCTAGTACAACCTCTAATAGCTCTTCCTTTTTTCACAATTTCATTACCAAACAATATATGCAACGCGATATCTAAAACTAAGTTAGTTGATTTTATTTACACGCATTAATCATGTAGGAATTACATTGCAAAAATCGTTATTCTTTTTTAATCAATATTCGTGAAAGAACAATAAATAAACAATATTCTCCTTGTCTTAAGTGATAAAACAACAATTAATTATTCAAATTCTAGTTTTGACTAACAAAAGAGTACTATATGAATTAATTGAAATTTTGTTTTAAGTGATCAAACAACACTAATTAATCAATTAAAGTTATTTAAATAATAAAAGAAAAGAGATTTATCTAAGTGCTCAGGAAACTAACCGTTCTTCTTTTATGTTAAATCTCCGTTTAATGTGGACTTTCTTTCTTCTTCGTACCTCCAAGGACTTCAATGGATTCAATTAGGGTTGGAAATTATTTGGGAAGAGAGAGGAAAAAGTAGTATGATAGTAAGAGAAGTTGAGAGATTAGGGTTTTGAGAATACTAGGGTTTTAATTCTAAATTTTCCGAACCTCGTAATGCTGAACGATGACCCCTATTTATAGGCGTAGGGATCTAAGTTTAGGGTTTTATAGTCGCGCCTTCAAGTGGCGCGCGCAACTCTCTAAGTTGCGATGGGTGCCGCGCGCATCTCAATGAGTCGCGCGCGCAAGGCGTGCGCGATTGAGTTGCGCTGGTTTGCTATTTGCCTTATACGAAAAATGCCTTTTTAAAACTTCCATAACTTTTGATTGACGAGTCCGATTAAAGCGTGTGAGATATCATTGGAAATCTCTTAATGTCTAATTTCCAATACCGTAAGAATTAGGTTAAAATATGTTATGGATCAAAAGTTATGGCCGTTGGAGTGCAAGGGTGTCGGTTTTAGGGCCCGTTTTAGTGTTTTGATCATAACCTCTTCGTTTTGGCTCGAAATTGGGCTTATAATATACCGTTGGAAAGCTCTTTGAAAGTTCTATCCATCTGTATAAGCCTTGCGTGGGAATTTTATAGTTGGTTTATCTTTTTGGCTCAGCTTTTCAATAATGTAGGTTCCATTGGATCCAATCATTGCATTTGACGCATTTGGATCTGTTATTTATCAAGTTTTACATGTATGAACACGTTTTAGGCATAATTAGTAATTATTCAAGGCTCTAAGATCTCAAATATGGGTTTTAACTTACTTCATAATGCTTTTCATAGTCCATACACACTTCAACGTTGATCTAACATGAAGAACGGTTTTTTGTAACATCATAACACTTCCTTTCGGGACAAGAGGTCAAAAGTAGGTGTCTACACATGTATAAAAGTGTTTTAAGGGTTTTATGAAGAAAATTTAAAGAACTATATATAAGCCTTTAATTTTAACTAAAGGGAAGGTTTTAAAGTGTTGTTTGATTTGGATTTTAAAGGTTTTAAAGTAAGTTAGTATTGCTGTAAATTTGATTCATTGGGTATTGATTGAGATGTTATTGTTTGGTATAGGAGAGGAGTTTATTGAAGGTGATTTCTAGATAGTTAAGTGGCATACCAATTCGTTTATTCAAGGTACGTATGAGTTACGAAACCTTGCCTTTAGATGCATCTTTAGGGATGCATCGAGAACTTAGTATCATGTATAGAGAAGACTGGCTAAATTGTTTGGTTATTGTAGACACCCAAATGTGTCTCCCCAAAACCAATCGTAGTTATGAATACCTTTCACGTCATTTGATTATCTAATAAAGCGAAAGTGTGAAAAGTTTAGTGATGAGGATGTTTTTATTAAAATTTATCTTCTTTCTATTTTCGAAAATATTTCTTTTCTTACCCTATTTTTGAAAAGCGTGCATTCCAGCTTATTTTGGTCCATAATATGGGTCCAATAATGGTGTATTTAGATGGCGCTTGAAAAGACCTTCCCAACGATATATTATAAGCCCAATTCCGATTAATAACGAGGAAGTTATGGCCAAAATACTAAATTGTGCCCAAACCGGATTTTACCTACGACCCAATGATCATGTGGAGGGTCCAAAGGTTTAATCCTATTCCTAAACTAATTAAGATTAATTAGAAGCTTCTATAAGTTTTTAAAAGATCTTAATTATCCCTTTTGAAAAGATAAGATTAAAGAATTTGAGTTAAATAAAAACTTTCCTTTTATAAAAACTTTCCTTTTTTCTAATCCTAATTCTATTCGAATTTAGATGTTCAAAGACAGACAGATATTATTTTTGTGCCTCCAAATCTTCATCCAAATTTTATATGATTTTATATATCTTGAAATTATCTTTCCAATGACATATTATAATATTATATCCGAGTTATAACAAAAAACATATGAATGGAATATGAAACTCTATCCAAAACTGACACCATCCTACTATTTCGGCCATATCTTTTTATCTAAAAATAAATTTATTCTGATTCTAATTGGGTTGGAAAGTATATTCAAAAGCTTTCCAACGATATACCATATGCCTTATTTGGACTTTTAGATCAAAAGATATGATAAAAACAAAATTCGCTAAAACTGTTGTCCATTGAGTTTTATTTCGATTCGAATTCAGATTCTTTTCTTATTCCTCGACCTTCTTTTTTCTCTATATATAGTGGTCATATCTCCCCTCTTTCAATCATCAACTCTCATCAAGAATTTTTTGATTCTCTTTTCCTCTTTCTAAGCAAACCCTATTACAAACAAAATTTCTCATACATTAGCACTAGACACACCTAGCCAAGTTCGAAATTGCCTTCGCCCTAGACGTGAAAGGTTTGATATTTATGAGGGTTTGGTCCCCAATCTCTATTTCAATTATTTGATTTAATTGTTTAATTTTATATTTTCCTTGAAGTTACTGACGTGTGTATTTTTTTATTAGAAAGAGTTACGAGGCATTCAAGTAAGTGCTTTAATTGATATTATGATATAGAAATCATGTCTAGATTGTTATTATGATTCCTAGTATCATGTTAGGATGTTTTATTGCTTCTTAGTATCATTTATAGGGTAATAAATATAATTTCTAATATCAAATATGATTAAAAGAATGCTTCCTATTTTCTTTCCTAATATCATTATAGGGCTAAAGCTTTGATCTTTGATGTTTAGTGGCATGCTAGGGTTTGTTATTAATCTTGTTAGTATCATGCCTAGGATCTTGCTATTATTATGATTTAACATGATTAATGATTATGATGATGATTATTGTTGTTATTATTATGTTGCTTGGAATTTATATTATTGTTATTGCTTGATCACGCTTTTTATGGATGTTTAAAGGGAATTTATACTTGTAATAACGCTTAGTAAGATAATTAATAATCTTGTTCAGGGTTAATTTGATTATAATTCAAGTGATCGCCAATAATAGTTTTATTTGTGCATTTATATTCAACCAACATAGATAAACAGGTTTAGGGTAAACCTAATGATTGCATGTTAGTCAGAAAGCGCACATGAATACGAGCAGAATAAAGTAGAGGCCTTTATTAGGGCAGGTTCAATCTCTTTTAGGTTGGATTTGTACCTTTATCCCCGAACTACCAGTCATGGTTCCAGACCTATTTGAGTTGACGATCTCCTGGATCGTTAAGGGGTGTAACCTTCACCTCGTGGACGGTTTATAAGTTCCTAAAACTTGTTGGCGACTCTTTTGCTCTATCTTCTTTCCCTTTGGACGCCACCATACTTTAGTGTATGATCACAGTGGGGTTCAAGTTTGGGGTAATGCTTGAAATATTCCCTACAGTTTTTAGCGAATCCAGTGGGGAGGATTTCTATTTTAATTCCTAAAATTTATTTAGGCAATGATTTAGAATGAGTGGATGAGACTCGAAAAGTTCTAAGTATTTCATGTGCGTAATTTTGATTAACATTATTGTCATATGCATAAAAAATATCTCATTGGAAAGACCATCCGTAATGAGTTAAAACCATAGGATTTTTACACGTAGGAAATTTGAGGAATATCTTTCACAACTAGGATCGAAATAATGCTGTGAGAAACCGGAAAATTTTATCGAGCATAGAAAGCTGCTGAGGCATATAGGAGTTAGCGTCAGAAAACAGAATCTGTCTCCAAGGATTTGACTCTGGCGCCTGGTGACACTCCTGTCACCAGGCGCTAGAGCTAAATTGCAGCGACGGCCTCTGTTCGCTGGCGCCAAGTTCTTCCAATACCGAGCCAGAAATATGCGTTCTAATTTTGACCAGTTTTTAGCACTGTTTGCTTGATCCTACTTCCTGAATGAGTTTTACTCACTTTTTTGAAACCCATATGTGTTCTACATATGGACATAACCCTCTGGGAATTCATGCTCCATCTACCTGATTGAACGCTCTGTGCAACAAAGGGTATATCCGAGAATGTTGAATTCACCAAACCATGGAAGCGAGTTTTTGACTCGCGGTGTCCCATCCACTCGCGCCAACCCTTCAAAAGGTAAGGCTTCCGCGCGATGCATCTGGACAATTAACCAAGGACCCTCTTTGACTAACCCATATCCCGAACTTTAGAGAACTAGAGCCATAGTTAGGTTGCAAACTCATTGCATCATGTTGTGACTACTTGACTACTTGTGCATACTTATTATGTGACTAAACTAACCGTTTGGTTTGACTTGTGTTTGTAAATACGTCCTTTTTTTTTGAAAGAACCCACTAGGGATTAATTAACATTCAACTGCAAATCAGAGTTTAGGAGATTACATAGGAAATCAGGAAAATCAGAGTACCAAATCTTTCTGCCTAATACAAGAGGGGGTACATGAGCTAATTCATGTGCCACTTTGTTACCGTCCCTATGAATCCAACTCCAGGAGCAATCTGAAAAGCGATTTGTAGCAACCACAATATCATCCAGCAGAAGATGGAAGGAACTACAACCAGGGGCCTTCTTCTTTATCGCACATACCACAGGCTCACAATCACTTTCAAACACTACTCGATCATGACCCATCTCAGCCGCAAGCTCCATACCAATTAAGATAGCCTTCGATTCAGTAAGTTTAGGCTCCAATTTAATCCCCAGCTTGACTGATGCACACCATAGAGTCTTCCCCTCAGCATCCCGAGCAACCACACCCACTCCAATCATGTATCCCCCAGCAAACCTACATCGATGATCACCTTCACAGCCCCAGCAGCAGGAACACGCCAGCAGCCACGGGATTTGGCAGCATCCTCCCCCTGCTTCTTACTCGAGCCAATTTTCATGTCATTCAACATATGCTTAACATACTTCACCACACTCTTAGACTCCAACAACTCATTCTCAAACAAACCCCTATTGCGAGAGTTCCAAATTGACCAGCAGAATGTCATAATTTCACTACGTTGATCCTTCTCTAGGCTGCAAAATTTATTGAACATCCAGTCCTTAAATGATCTCCACCTCCCTTCCACCACCCACTCCACATCATTATCCTCCCAAATTTTCTTCCCATGAGGACAGCTAAGAATAGCATGAGCAGCATCTTCAGCTTCCTGCCCACAAACACTACACACACTGTCAATATCTTTCACTCGTATATGCAGGCCATTATTGGTAGGTAAGGTTTTGTGATAAGCTCTCCAGAAAAAGACCTTTATCCTCGGCAGCACGGGCTCGCTCCAAATTAAATTCCACGCTCTCCTAATAACTGCATCATTCGAAGGCCTAGCTTCCTCAAGCTCACCATAAAAAATCAGCCTATAAGCTGACTTCACTGAGTATATGCCATCATTCTCCCCGACCCAACACAAACAATCCTCCGGACTACGCTAACTCAATGGGATAGACAAGATACGATCTTGCTCAAAAGGTAAGAAGAGACTCTTGATTAGGGGGACATTCCAACCACCCCCATTAGCAAGCAACAAATTACTTACCATCATATTTTCAAAGCCCTCAGGACAAGGTGATAACACCTTTCGAGACTGAGTATCTGGCAGCCAGCAATCACCCCACACACGCACATGTTCACCATTCCCAATTCTCCAGCACATACCCTTTCTCACCACCCACTTTGCTTCATGGATGCCCCTCCATGCATAGCTAGGATTAGACCCCAAACTGGAATCTAGGAATGAAGAATTTCGAAAGTATCTCGCCTTTAGAACCCGAAACAAAAGAGAGTGAGGTTGAGTGGCTAATCTCCATGCTTGTTTGCCAAGAAGCGCCCATTTAAAGTACTTCAAGTCACGGAAACCCAAACCCCCAAGAGCTTTCGGTTTACATATTTTCCTCCAAGCCACCCAATGGATCTTTTGTTCACCTTGTTTTTGTCCCCACCAAAATTGAGAAATTAGAGCACGCATCTCATCACAAAAGAAAGAAGGTAGTCTAAAAACACTCATCACATATGTAGGGATAGATTGAGCCACTGCCTTTATCAAGACCTCCCTACCCGCTTTAGAAAGACATAAACCCTTCCAACCTTGCAATTTCTTCCATAGTCGCTCTCTAATCCCTCTCGTCAATACCTTCTTAGAGCGCCCTACAATAGTAGGAATCCCCAAGTATTTATCATGGACATCAACAATTTTCACTCCCAACTCTGACGCAATCTCATTCCTCCTAATTAAGCTCACTCCTTTGCTAAAGGACACCGTAGTTTAATCAAAATTCACAATCTGTCCCGAAGCTTTCTCATACACCTGGAGAATATTCTTAATAGCACGAGCTTCCTCCCATGAGGCTTTCGAAAAGATAACACAATTATCCGCAAAGAGGAGGTGGGAGATAGAGGGAGCCGAGTTAGCAATTCTAATCCCATGTATCACATTGTCCTCTAGAGCCTTTCGAAGGAGCCCCGATAATGCTTCTGCCACCAAAATGAATAAATAGGGAGAAATTGGATCCCCCTGTAGGAGGCCCCTCGATGGCACGAAATCAGAGCTCGGTTTCCCATTTATAAGCACCGAAAAGCTCACCGACCAAACACATTTCATCACCCGATTAATCAAAGCACCATGAAAATTCATACGAATCAACACTACCTCTAGGAAGTCCCACTCAACACGGTCATAGGCCTTAGCCATATCAAGCTTCAAAGCCAAATGACCACTCTTAGCCTTTGATGACTTCATATGATGGAACATTTCAAATGAAACCAAGACATTATCAGAAATCAACCTTCCCGGGGTAAAGGCACTTTGGTTGGCCGAAATAATATCATTCAAAAATAATTTAAGCCTATTCGCCAACACCTTCGAGACAAGCTTATACACTACATTGCAAAAATAATTTAAGCCTATTCGCCAACACCTTCGAGACAACCATTTTTTCAGCATTATTCTTTTTCGGGATTAATACAATAAATATCCTATTCAAAGACGGAGGAATACTCCCACCCCTCATAATATTTAACACCAAGTTGCAAATCGAAGGGCCGACAATATGCCAATATGATTGATAAAATAAAGGGCACATATCATCAGGACCGGGTGCTTTAATAGGATGCATTTGTGCAAGAGCTTCTCAAACTTTCTCCCCTTTAAAGTCAGCCGCTAGTAGTGCATTTATCTCAGGAGTGACACGACCCTCCACCCCCCTCAAAGCTTCATCAAGACACTCCACCCCCTGCGATTGAAACAGCCCCGCAAAACACCCATTAGCAACCTCCCCCACTTCCTCATTGCCCACTCTTTTCTGCCCCTGATCATCAATTAAATGAGCAATGTGCTTTTTACTATTTCTTGCTGACGCACGACGGTGGAAAAAACTTGTATTCCGGCCCCGGCTTCTAACCACAAGGCACGAGACCTTTGTCTCCAGACAACTTCTTCCTGCCTCAACAACCTCTCAATCTCACGCAGCAGCTTTCGACGGCTCTCCAATTGGGATCAAGAAAGACCCCCCCGATTCAATATTTTTAATTTTTTTTCTTTTTTTTCCTCAACTCCTTGAAAACCGCACCAAAGTTCTTATCACCCCGCACCTTCAGCTGAGCAGCGCAAAGCTGAAGCTGCTGCTCGACGCTACTCCCCGCAGCCCATGCATCCCTCACCACTCCTTCACAACCTTCGTGATCAACCCAAAATTGCTCAAATCTAAACAATCTCTCCTTCCTATTTAAGCCCCCACCTTTATCTTCAATGAGAAGCTTGATAGGGGCGTGGTCAGACCATTCCCTATCAATATGAATAAGCTTCGAACCTGAAAATCTAACCACCCACTCCCCATTCGCCAAGGCACGATCAAGCCTACATTGAACATTCTCTTCCTCCTCTCTTCCATTATCATAGGTGAAAGGGTATCCTTCAAAGGGGACATCCTTGAAGCCACACAAATCCACCGCTTCCCTAAAGTTTTCCATTTTCCAGAGAGCCCTATCAACACTGCCATTCTTGTCCGAATCCATGAGAATCTCGTTGAAGTCTCCAATGCAAACCCACGGGCCACTATTTTGAGTAGCTAGCTCCCTAAGTAAGCTCCACTAAAGATGGTGATTTTGAACCTCCGGCCACCCATAGAAACCCGTAATTCTCCACCGATCATCCCCCGTATTCCCTCCAACCCAAAAATCCATATGATGCACTGACATCGACCAAAGGGTAATGCTCAAGTTTTTCCTTCACAACATAGCCAAGCCTCCTGATCTCCCCATACTGTCCACAGCAAGCCAATTATAATCACCTAAATTTTCTCTAATCTTTGAAAACTCCACACTACTCAATTTCGTCTCTGATAGAAAAATCATAGACGGGGCCTCTCTCCGCACTAAGTCGCGAAGACCATCAACTGCAGAGGGATTGCGCAACCCTCTATAGCTTAAGCTTAAAACATTCATTTGGTTTGGCGGGGTTAGCCTCCACCAACCTTTGCCAAAGCAACCACGCTATCGACATCATCACTTAGTTTCACACGAGCTTCCTTGCCACTGCCATCAACACTATCTCCCTCCCTACTCCTTTTTGTGCCTAAGAGAATAGCACCATCGCCTTCATCCATGGCCGAAGAATCCCTCGGCAAGTGTTTCCATTTGCGGTTCACCTCACCGCGCTTGTTTTTCCCAGTTGCACCATTGAACCCACTACCACACAACTGCTGGAAGTCAACAACTGGAGCCGACCCTACCTCCTCAGCAATGGCATTATGCCTAAGATCAGAATTTAATTCCCTATCAGATTCTTTGGGACGGGCACCACTCTTCAATACAACCAGAGCATCCTCAACCCCCCTTGGTTCCCCAGTTTCTGCGTGAAGACAAGGGACTTCTTTTTAGACTTGATTTTTTCCAACTCCTCCACCAGTTTCGCTCTACCCTTCCTCGGAGAAGCCCTAAGCCAAAGCCCCCATTGCTTTTCCTCCGGTTCTTCATCTCTGCAATATTAGGACAGTCCTTCTCGGTGTGGCCAAGAATGCCACACATAAAGCAAAAGGATGATAGGCGCTCATACTTGAATTGAATGGTCGAGACATCACCATTCTTACTTTTAATTTTTTGTATTCTACGCAGTGGCTTGGAGGTATCGACCATCACACGCACTCTTCTCGACTTGTTCCACCCTAACTCATCATCCTTGACAGCCAATACGACACCAATTTTGCTTGCGATTCTTTTCACGTCATCATTGGTTCTGCTATCTAGGGGTATATTGTATATACGTATCCAAAAAGGGCAAAATTTCACCTCAATCGATTCTGGTTGTTCCCCCTTCTAGATATCTTTTAACAGCAATAACTGATTATCGAAATTCCATGGAGCACCATCTAAAACTTTTTCCTTATCACGCCAATGAAAGAACTGGATGACAAAGAGATTGTTCTCAATTTTGCGAAAAATTACCTCGCGTTTCAATGCCCAAACCTGTTTAAGGGTGTTTTGCATTGCTTCGAAATTTTATGAGCGCATCGTTAAGATTCTACCCACCACCGATAAAGCAAGTTTGCTATCATGATCACCATTCTTATTCTCACCCAAATCTGCAATTTCATCCTCTTCTTCAGTGATATTTGGCCTCGAACATCTTTCAACAATGTCATCTTCCATAATCGGAATAAAAAACCCCTCCTATAGGGGAGAAAACCGCTTGAACTAGCAAGAGAAACCACACTCAGACCCCTGTAGATAGGAAACCCTAACCCCAGAGCGAGACTCTTTTTTTTCTATA